GCCTCGATTTGGGGGCGCCATGGAGAGACCAGGGTGAGGGCGAGGGCGCGCTGGCAGACCCAGAGGGCTTCCAGGAGGAGCAGGAAGTGGCAGAGGCGGGAGGGCTAGTGTTTGGGGGCCGGGAAGGCCGGTCTGATATCCCAAGCGATAAGAAGGATCTGGACTACGAGTCTGTGATGGTCGAGCCGCCACTGAGCGACTGGGATGTCCGGGGCGTCCGCAGACTCGCGTCCCCAGAGAGCCGCGACCCTGAAGTGTCCACCATCTGGGCGGACCTAGAGGCAGGTCCCGGCGGCAGAGGCGCCCTTGCCGCTAGCTGCGTGGCCTCTCGGCAGGCTTCTGCCACCCCTCCTCGCCCCAGCGTGGCCCCGAGAGGCCGGGCCTGGGGGAACCCGGTGAGAAGCGCTAAGAGTAGGTTGAGCATCAGCGTGGACCTCCCGCAGCACTCCGTGGAAGGTGTAGTCGGGCTGCCTTCTGACCCCGAGTCCTCAGATGAGTGCAGTGAGGTACAGATGATGAGGGTGAGCATCTACCCCAAAGAAGGCGGCCGAGGCGAGCTGGACAGCCCCGAGGAATCTGGAGACACACCCAGACACTCGAATTTCCTTGTCAGGGAGAATTTCCTTCAGGTGCCAGGCTCTTTCCTGACCTCTGCTACCCGAGGACTCACCTCAGCCATGGAAAGACAGGCCTTTGGAGAGCTGGACAGCTCTTCCTCTAAGAAAATGCCAAGCGTGCTCTGGAGGAAGGGAGAGAGCAGGCCTAGCTGCCCAGGACCCGCTGCTGCTGCTGCTGCTGCTGTTGGGAGCAACCTGCCCCGGGCCACTCCTAGGAAGAAGGTGGCCCAGGAGAAGAAGTCCCCAGGGAGTGCCTCAAAATTCGCCGTGGGGAGAGTCTTTCCTTCCTGGGGGCAGAGGCTCTCGGTTGTTCCCCTGGAACCGGCCACCTTCCCCCCGATCTCTGGTGTACCGCTGCTTGGGAGGTCCAAGGAGTATTCCTTGCGGTCATCTGGACCCCCCCAGTCCAAGCACAGCGGCGCTGGGAAGAAATCTGCGGTGAGGAAGGCAAAGGAGTACCAGCCTGTGGTCAGGGAAGATAATGAGCCAAAGAGAGATCCAGTCCCAAGGGCCCAAGTGAGTAGGCCATCTTCCCCCCTGTCTCCTCACACTTCCCCTGCCCCGGGCACGCACATCATTACTCGTGTCCATCGTTACTCTGCTCAGGGGTTGTCCGTGGGAGTCCACGGTCATTAGGAGGCCCAATCAGGATCATCTTAGTAGAGGCACACATTAAGGGAGCACTTGGTATGGGGCAGGCTCTGTTCTCGACACTTTGCACACTTCCCGCCTCCTCCCCAGAGAGGGGCTGGGATGGAAGGCAGGGCTGGAAGTTGGTTTGGATTGGAGGGTTCCTTAAAGTTTGGGCTGCAAAGCTTGGGTTGTCCAGACTCATCAGCCTCCTGGCTCCTCCTTCCTAGCTGTTCCCCAAGCCTGCCTGGCAGTGGGCCTGGACTGTCTGAGCGTCCCCATTGTTTTTCCTGGCTCCGCGCTGCCTCCTGGCCTGGGGCTGACTGAGGGAGAAAGGGCTAATAAGATTGCAGCCTCTGTATTCCCCTCCTTATTCCCCACCTCACCCCAGCCCCTGCACATACATGCTCACACTCACACGCCCTTGCCCAACTCTGAGAAAATTTTGCTTCAGCCTCCAACACACAGGCCAGGGCCACCTTGCCTGTGGGTGTATCGTGGAGAACTCAAAAGTGGCAAACCCAACACCGGAGACCTCCAAGTTCCAGGAAACTCACGGGCCTCGGCCTTGAGCCAGGGAGGCATCATGCCCAGAGGCCCTTCATCGTCCGGTGAGTCTTGTGGGTTTGCTAGCATGGAGGGGAGAGGGGTCGAGAAGGGAAACCTCTGACTGTGTCACCTCCCGGGGGGGTCAGCCTTCCTCCCAGGCTTCCCTGCCTACCCAAGCAGCTGTCCCCCAGGAAACGGGGTGTAGGCAGGGCTGGAGTGGTGTTTGTGGGCTGGGGGTGATTTGTAGCAGCACCCCAAACTCTTGACTCCAGAAGTAGACTCTCGACAGAACAGAGCCTTTTCTGTTAAGTCCTGTTCAACCACATTGCTCCTCCCAGGGGCTGGCTGTGGCTGCAGCTCTGCTAGTGTGAGACCCAGAGCCACAATCCTAGGGGGCCACAGGCGCAGAGGGGCTGCCGCAGGGGAGCAGGGAAGGCAGGCCCAGAGAGAAGGTTGGCGCTGCTGGGCAGAGCAGAAGAGCACTCTCTTCTTGCCAGCAGAGGGTGCTGCTGCCTCACTTTAGACCCAGCTAGGCCCTTTCCCACCACACTGTGAGACTTGGAAGCTGGATTTTGTGATCTTTCAGGTGATCAGGGACCACCTGTCCAGACCCGAAGACTGGAAAGGCAGCAGCAACAGCCACCAGGAGCACAGGGCTGTCCTCAGGTAATGCCTTGTCTGGCTCCTAGAAACCCAGGTCCTAACTAGGTGGTGGGAAACATATCCAAGTTAAACTGGCTTCTGTGTCCCCTGCCCCTTTCCCCACACCATGGAGAGAGAGGAGACGCCTCCTTTCCTTTGAGGATTCCTTGCCAGTCTAGCCACTGGGCTGCGGGCAGTGGGGACATGCAAGGGCTGGCAGGTGGAGGACGAGGAGTTAGGAGGCCAGAGTATACTAATAATGTCTCTTCTTCCTGTGTCCACTGGGTTAGTGTCTGCTGCTACAGAGGGAAATAGACGACCTTAAGGAGCAACTAGGTATGATGAACCCCTGGCTGGGGCGGGGGAAGGGACAGACCAAGACCACAGTGTCTTACTTCCGGTGCTGGGGACACGGGGAAATACTGGGCTACAGGTGCAGGCAGCATCACTGGGACCGACGTTTCCATTGGGAGGAGGACCGAGCAGGCCTGGCCCTGGAGCCTGCTGTGCATTTCCTAGAGCTGGGGGTGTGCACGGATAGCAGTGTATCGGGTGAACCCCAGGTCCACTTTGTCAACGAATCCCATAGATCTCCTTCTCTTAGCACCTTTAGAGCTACCTCGTTTCGTTTCCCTTTTCCCTGCTTGGGATGGCGCCTATGGGTTTTGTTGTTGTTTACGTGCTTATTTGTCTTTTTTAACACATTCTGAACAGTCCTGGCATGCCCCAGGACTGAGAAACACTGGTACATTTTGTTCCCGTTTAGAAGAAGGTCCCACGTTTAATTCAGGTGGTGGGTGGGTGAGTCAGTCCCAGGGCTGCCTGGACAGGGGCTGCTGAGGTTTCAGGTTGCAGGGACAGGCGGTTCCCCATGGGGGAAGGGGGATGGGTTCCTGTCTCCCTACATCTGGAGTGCCCGGTTGTGCCTCTCTATTCCAGTGGCCATGCAGTCCCTCCTTGACAGGCTCCAGGCCCTTTGAAGTGAGTGTTACACATACCACACCCCTTCCGCGACCCCTTCCCGCAAAGCTGGCTGCTCAGGAGGGCTGTGGGCTGGCCCTGGCTTGTGACCCTCAGACCCTGCCTGACTCTGCTCTGTTTGACAGGTTGGACCCAGCATCATGTACGAGACAAACAGCTGGCAGCTTTGGAGCCCAGGAGCTGCGACCATACTGGTTCCCCCCGTTTCTTCTTCTGCCAGGGCTTCCTCTCTTGTGCTGCTTTTGCCCTGCCCCCACCTCAGTTTACAGTGGTTTCAAATTAAAAGTAGTTCTCATATTCTGCTCTGTGGTCTGCCCTGCTTCTACGGGGAGGGGTTGTTGTGAGGAAGGGGAGGGGTGGGGAACTGCTCCATTCCGGGAGCATTTTAAGAGCCCTTGTAACCCTGGCATGCTGTGGTTGGCCCTCTCCCTGCGGGGCATCTCCCTGGGCCAGGCTGCGGGCGGTGGCAGCCCCACACTCAGCCTCACCGTGTGCCCTGGGTCTAGGCTCTGTGAGAGCCCCACCCAGCCACGTTAAAATTTCTTCCCTTTCCCCTGCGGGCCCTGTTCATGGTCCCTCCTAAAGTCCTATTTGCGGGTCTTATGGTTCCCACTTTTCACCGCTATTCCCCCCTCCCCTTCAGCAGGAACTAATTGACCCCCTTCTAGAGGTCCAACCCCTCTTTCCCTTCCTCATTTGGTTCATTCACTGTCCTGGTTCTCCCCTCTCACCCTTCTTTTCTGTCATGAGCATCCTTGATCTCGTCCATGGCTTCATGTCCATGGCCTTTTCCACAGGCTTATTATTTCAACGGGTGTTAAAGAGCACAGTTCAGCTCATACTCTCCCTCCAGGGCCCAGTCCTCTTTCTGGAAGCATTCTCTCCCTCTGATGCCACCATGTAGAGCAGCAGTTCTCAACCTATGGGTTGAGACCCCTTTGGGGGGGGGGTCGAACGACCCTTTCACAGGAGTTGCCTGAATACATCCTGCATATCGGATATTTACATTATGATTCATAACAGAGGCAATGTTACAGTTATGAAGTAGCAACAAAAATAATTTTATGGTTGGGGGTCACCACAACATGAGGAACTGTATTTAAGGGTTGTGGCATTAGGAAGGTTGAGAACCACTGATGTAGAGGGACAACTTGGCCAGAAACTGGCGCATCATCCTCGGTTCCTGTTTAGCCCTCACCTCTGAACCTCAGTTACCCAATCCCATCAGTTCTCCCCCCTTAGTTTCAATGGAGGCCTAGACACAGAAACTACATCCCAGGAGGTGGCAGAGCACAAGGCGAGGTGCAGGAAACACACGAGAAGAGAGCAGGTTAGTCTCTGGGTGGGAGGTGGAGCAAATGAGTCCATTCTAGTGCCTCAGGCCAAGCTCAGGAAAACCACTGGCCAGCTGCTATACCCCATGGCCCATGGCCAAGGGATCAGAGCCTCCACAGCCCTCATGTTGCAGCCAGCCAGCCCACTGCCCCTTCTCTGTCTGATTGGCTTCATGGCCTTGACTTGAAAAAGGGCAGTTAGTTTCCAGGGCAAGTGTGGACCCTAGGTCTAAATGTCCTGGGATGGGCCCAGTTGGGTACCAGATGGGCCACCCCCATGCCAAAGATTTTCCTGAATATGATCTTTCTGTGTCCCACCTCCATCTTCCGGGATGCCTACTGAGCTCTCAGGAGCTGTTGTCTGAGCTCCCTGTTCTGATTTCACCCTCACTGACAATTGGGATGGCCTTCTTCCTTCAGCTAGCATCCCAGGCTGGGCGGGCCTGACACTCAGAGGGACAGAGTCATGTGAGAGTGAGGTGAGTACAGGTTCTGCCAGCCTCCATTTCCCAGAGACTAGGTATTTAACAGATAAAGAGGAGACAAGTGCAGACGTCCTTCGGGGTTAGTTTGTGAGGGAAGGTGTTCGTCCATCTGTATGTGCTTGTGAATCCAATGGGGGATAATCTCCCTGGAGGGAAAAAGAGCTTATTCAGGGAGTGGAGGCAGAGGTTAAAGATCCATAAGGTATCAAAAGAGCAAAAGCAAGGGTGGGATCTACCTTTTACAAGAGGTGTTTTACAAGTCAGGAAGGTATAGAGTGGGATGAAGTTGAAGTTGCCAAGCCCAACGATGGGTGCCAGGGCTCTCAGAGTGCTTAGGTCGCTGGACCAGGGTCTTCATCCTTTGTGGGATGAATATGATGTCTCAAAAATCCTGTGTGTGTCAGTGGAATGATAGTGTGAAGGCTGGCTACTTCACAGTAAGTGGACATGCCTCATCTTTGAAGGAAAGAGCTCCTGTGGGAGACTGCCACGACGACAGGTAGAAAGGTCACAGGGAGGATGCAAAGTGGAAAAGCGGGACTATGACTATGCTTGGAAAATTGGTCAGGCTTGGTGTGACCTTCCCCCTGCATTATCACTCTGTCTCCTTTCCGGACTATGTGGTCTGAGCTCAGGAAGACGTATCATCACACATAAGGAGGGACAGTTACAGAACTCAGAGCCAGAAAGGAACGTGAGCTGGGACTTAAACCAAGCACTTCAAACCCCTCACTTGGGGGGTGGGACTTGATTCCCCAGGCTAAGGCTTTGACCCTGATCCACGTGGTCATTTCCTAGTGGGATAACACAGCAGGCTGGTGTCTTAATGATAATGTTTGGCAGAGACTTTCCAACTTGGGATTCTGACAACAGAGATATCTAAGCCCCATTCTGATGGGAGCAGAATTCTGGCACCGGGCACTGGCCCAGAGGCATGGGGCTGTGGTTGGCAGGGTGAGGAAGGAGAGGAGCATGTAGAAGCAGGTGTAAAGGGCATGAACACAACTCTTGGGGACTAGTTTTGCCAGTGCCAACTCCCACCGCTGAGCACAGGATCTATGTTCTCTATTCAGACCAACTACTGCACAATAGTGTTACTTTAAGGTGGACCCAATAGACTGTGGTGGGCTGAGGCTTCCATTTCTAGGGGAAGTCAGTTACAGAATGTGAGTCTCACATTAGAGCAGTCCATCTAGTCCCCAGAGCGCAGGAGGCAGTGGAACCTCTCCCCACATTCAACGCCCCTCAACTTTTTTTTTGTTTTTGAGACAGTCTCACTCTGTCACCCTCGGTAGGGTGCCATGGCATCACAGCTCACAGCAACCTCCAACTCTTGGGCTTAAGCAATTCTCTTGCCTCAACTTCCCAAGTACCTGGGACTACGGGCACCTGCCACAATGCCCGGTGATTTTTGTTGTTGTTGTTGCAGTTGCCACTGCTGTTTTAGATGGCTGGGGCTGGGTTCAAACCCACCACCCTCGGTATAGTGGTGCCCTACCCACTGAGCCACAGGCACTGCCCCCACAATGCCCCCTTTTGCTGTTCCCTCAAGCTTCTTCTCCCCAAAACAGGGATATAGAGGCTGGCCTGGAGAGCTCTGGACCCCCCTCCCCCCACCCTGTGCTGCTCCTCAGCTCAGAGGGAGCTCTGGAGTCTTGCTGAGCTACATCCCTGCCTGTGTATGACTCAGCTGTAATGGAGGAGTCCTGAGCAAAATCTCACCTATACCAGGTGCCAGAGCTCCCAAATGCTCATTTCTAAAAAAGATCATCTCCTCTTCTGACTTCAGCTATGGGTGACTGGGCAAGCCAGAAAGCAAGAGGCAGCAAGGGTGACATACTTGGCTGTGGTGGAGGCCCAGCACACAGCAAGTGGGGATATGAGATGACAGCTGAAGTATGAGAGTTGTCGTGGTGAGTAATCACCATGGATTTCAGTCTTTACTGTCACGAACTCCCGGGTGAACTTTGACAACTTCATGTGAATTTGTCCTGATTCTCCATGCCAAGAACTCCTCCTTTCCCCATCCACATTTTCTCATTATCTGTTTCCTCTAATGACAAAGCAAACATCCAATGTACATTGTGGCTGCCATGGTGGCCATGTGAACTACGCTTGCATGATTCTAGAGCACACTATTCACTTGACTCCAGAGTAAACAGAGCCATGTGGCTGTGCAGTGTTGAATTCCCTGTCACTACCACACAGAATAAGAAGCAAAACATTGGCAGTGTGGAAGCCGCCTGTGAGCCCTACCCTAATTACTTCTCCCCCTCCAATCTCTCCAGAGGTAACTGCTGTCTTGCCTTTTCCAAGAATCGATCACTTTCTCTTACAGTATTAACAATTGGTGTTTAATCAATAACTCTTACCAAGATATAAGAATTAAATTAGGGGGCAGAGCCAAGAGGGTGGACTGTAGTCAGCTTTTTACAGAAGCTCCCATCCAGAAGGAGGCTTAAAGGACAGAAGTTTAGCAAGGGAGCTGATGGTTTAGAGTGGAGCCAAGAGAGAAGATTGAAGAATGCACTTCAACCTTCCTGAGGTGAGCTGTGACCCCAAAAATACAATCAAAAGGTACAAAATCCACCACCAAGTGGACAGGAGTCCCCTCCCCCACAACAAGGGCTCGCGGTTTACTCCATGCAAACAAGCAAGCAGAGTTCAAACTTCCTCCCACTCTATCCCATGGGAAAGACCCCCTAAAACCTGGACCTCCTACCCCTGCAGGCATGCCATGGCACCCTCCTGCCAGGCATAAAACTGTAAAACTATATAAAACTGTATATATTCCCCACCTGCAACATTGAACTCTGAGGATTCCCCACCCACCCACACTGAGGTCTGGGTTTGTTACTTATGGAGTCCAGATTCCTGGGCATCTCCTTGAGAGAAGTGGAGGGGGAAAGGGCTGGTGCTGCTCTGTGCTGACTGTAGCACAAGCATGAGGAGAAGAAAGTTGGCTCGGAGGAAGCCATACAGCAACAGTGGCATCCTGAGCTGTGAACTGGCACCATTCCAGATAGCCAAGCCCTGTCTCTCTGGGCAACCAGAGGTTCCGGACAACAGGCAAAAGCTGAATGCGGAATGGACTTGGTAACTTTCATAAGTAAAGAGACCATTAGCACCACCCTCAGGGTAATACAGCTGAGACAAAGGCAGAGGACAGGCAGAGGCTGGAATTGACACCTGAGTGTAAACTGCTATTTGTCTGCTGCCCAGAGCTGAATGCAGCCTCTGACTTACAGAGGAATCTAGCCTGACAGAAGCCTAATTCAAACACACAAGGCCCCCCTGCTGAACTCAGATTTCTGGCTGATTTTGGCAGTCATAAACCCCGGGAACAGTGGCCTACTGGAGTGAATAGGGTCACAGACCTGGGGGATTACGAGTGACTGGATGCAAGGTGGGGAAGGAGGTATTAACCTTCCCAGACTAACCCATTTGCTGGGTGGGTCCCTTTG